AGGGATTCAATTGTATAAACTATATAGGTATTGCTAAAGATTATTATCAATGACAGAGACCTGGCTAATAGAACACAATTGATACCGTTGAGCTTGCCGCTGAGAAGCGAGTCTGATGGGTCGCCATACGGAGTTTTCACTTTTTCTTCAGTTGCATCTTTAAAAAAATCTGGATCGTCAAGTCCTGATCCACCAATGATACCTATCTGTGTAATTGAAAAAAAATTAGAATACATTTCGTTGTACCTGATAACTACGCCTATAGCGATACCTTCACGTTGTATTTCATATTTTCTTGATGAACACTAATGTAACAACCAACTAGTGTCTATAAGTCTAACAACAGATTGAATGCATTAATTAAAGAATTATAATCCTCTTCCAACAAGTGGTTTTATTTTTTTTTAAATTTAAGATAACAAACAGGGATTAATATAATATAATATTAATGGCAACATCAATTGATAACAAAATAATATTCAAATTACTACTGTGTTACACTGTTACTATACATACAGTAATTTAATCTATTTAATTTCACCACAGTCAAGTGATCCATATTATACCTATCTTATTTATCTAGGTACTTAATAATAAAAAAACAAAATGCAGATATACAACCATATATATGTACATATTGAAGTTTAAAATTATGTTTATAATATAAGATATGTATATTATAGTTATTAACAAAAATATTAAAACAAGGTGATAATTATATCATTGTTTAAATAAAATTATATTTCAGTGTTTCATGGCCAACTTAAATATTTTAAAGACCATTATTTCCCCATTATTATATAACGAAAAAGTATCAGTTATAATGTTAAAATATTAGTTTATAATTATTATTATAGCTTTAAAACCCAAAGCAACCATTTGTAAACAAAAATTTCCACCATAAATCTAAAAATCCCCGTTTGAGCACCTCCCCGGGTTGGACCTAGGGGTATGAAAAAAAATTTACTTCACTCTCTCAGACTTACTGAATATACACACGAAATTTCATGAAAATCGGTCAAGCCGTTTCGGTGGAATTTGGCCACAAACATTTTCCATATTGTGCAACGAGATTTTCATAATTATTATATTAGATATTATAATGTATTTTATTAAATTATTGTCATATTTACAATTTATAAAAAGAAAACCGGCCAAGTGCGAGTCGGACTCCCACACGAATGGTTCCGTACCATCATCTATAAACATGTTGGCAACAATGCTTATATTATATATTCTAGGATTTTTAGTATTTGTTGCTATATTGGCAACAGAAATACATAATCTTTGAAAATTTCAACTTTCGAACTTTCATGGTACATCGTACATGTGATACAGCCTGGTGACAGCGGACTTAGTAATAGGGTCCCGTTTTACCGTACGGAACCCTAAAAAGGCTAAAATCTAAAATTATAATTTGTTTTATTTAATTATGATGGTTTCAATTTTTATTAGGTATAAATGGAGTGGTAATGGTAAAATAAAAGTGTTATTTAAACTAGTAGAAGCATATGTTTAATAATGGGAAAATATACATTTTGGGGTATCACTTTTACGGAGGGAAAAATTAAATTTTCAAATTAGAGGTGGCATACAAGTTTTTTTTACAATGAGTAAAAGGAAACTGAGAAAAAAGAGGTGCCAAAATCGTAAATACGCCTCTGCCATAGCCATATAATATGTTATGAGTTTTGAGTTATGACTTATGATATAGAGTCACGCACTCGCCCCGTGTTTCAGTGTTTGTCCAAGCCAATGTTATTTTAATCGCTGAGGTTTTTAACGTTACATTTTTATTCAAGTTCAAGAGTTTAAAAAAAAAATTGGTCATTTAATACTTACATAAGTAAGTTTTAGGTACAGCCAATGAGCAAAAAAAAAATGTATCATTTATATTTTATACATTCAATTTTTGTAATTTTTACTAACTATACCTAATACCTATACTTATATTAGTTAACGTCAAATCAATGCATCAAATTTTAAAAGAGTTAATGATTAAAATTAAATTTTCAAAGATGAAATTTATAAAAATTACCATCTTTTAGCGCTCTGTCCCAAAAAAAGGCTACTGTAACGCAGCTATAATATCTATAGAAAAATAGACTCTTGAGTTGTTCAGTTACTATTTTGACTCTTTTTGAGCTATTTATAACCATGAAAATTTTTTCAAATGTTGTAAATTATTTTTCAGTTGGTATAAAAGTTTTTCTTTTCATAGCTAACATAAGACATTTTGATAGACTGTTTCCAACAAGCTTTTTTACCTTTATCAAACAGAAAAAGTTCACCGGAAAGTCATGTTATTTATAGCCGTGAGAAATTTTCGATATATGTTATTTTTTATAAAAAAATTAAATTTTAGTATTTATACAAGCGTGTTAGGCTGATACAACGTCTCCGCTCAGAATAATTTTTCGTACTTATACAATGATTTATAAATGTAATTCAAATATAACACATCCATTACAACGACATGCTTGACACTTAGGTACTGTACAGCAGAATGGTATCCACTTGTCTAAATTTTTATATTGTATTAGCCATTAGGTACCTACTATATTTATTGGCAAATTGAATTATCAATATTTTTATATTAAGTTTAAATATATGACTTGTTTTATTATTAATTTATTTTCTCATGTCTTATTTATATTGTTGTGAGTACAAGGTACTATATTTTTAAGTCTATTTGCGCGTTATTACCTAGGTATATATCATAATATATGCAACTGTCAACTGACGATAATGACATTTTAGGCCCTGCAATTTTATTCTGCCCTGTGCCCCGCAAATCGTCAGGACGGCCCTGTATTGTATAAAATACGGACAACAATATTGTTTGTGTAAATACTGAGTAAATATTGAGTAATGAGTATTTACAGAATGATCTAGGTATAAGAAAGGTAATATTGTTTATATACAGTACAGTCATTTTGTCATATTTTCCCCGATGACTAACATTGGCAACGCTATTGCTACGACGACGAGGACTGTTACCGTGATTCTGAATTTAATATAAATTTGAAATTTCCATAAAAAAGTTCACACTTTTTCATTTATAACTTAATTTCTAAATGTACGATTTTTATGATTTTTACAAAAGCACATTCTACACAATATTTCTGATGTTTTGGAGTTTACTAGGAGTTAATTGATGCATTAGAAAATTAGTTATGTCGTACAACAAATTTACCTCTATTTTACACAGTTTAAATAGGCAACTCCTACTGCGATGTAATATACACACACGGTCTTACAGTTATTTTTTTTTTTTTTTTTTACTTAGCTCGCGCCATGACCGCGGCTCTGGATAATAGTATAATACGTATATTTCCGCAATGTTTAGGAATGTATTTTAATCTATAACGAAATCAGTGGCGTCCAACCCTATTACTAGGTGTAGCGGTCGCTACACGAGTACCTACACCTTGAAAATAAGGGGCGGGTGGGTATAATAACATAAAATAATCAACTTATCTTAGGCGCCACTGAACGAAATAACTACCTACATATTTGATGGGGCGAATCGGTTTTCGCCCAAAATCGACCTTTTGGTTTTTGCCCAAATGACCTTTTTTTACCCAAACACAAAAAAGAGTGATTTGGTTTTCGCCCAAAGAAATATTATTTATTTATTTATAGTAAACGAAAAAACATTTTGGTTAACACTGTATTTTTTTTTTTATTGAAAATGTGTCTAAATGACTATACGTATACCTACATAATATTTAATAAACATAAGTTTATACAAAAACATCTTAAAAAATAAAAATAAAATTTTAAAGATTTTAAATGATATGTATAAGTGTAAGACATCTTAAAAAAAATAGTGTAATATTAAAAATTCAATTATTCGTCGAAGTTATGGCAGATATAGATTAGTGTAAAACATACTATAAAAAAACCAAAAAAATATAGTCAATGTAAATAATATATGTAAAAACACAGAAAACAGATTTTAAATGATATATATATATAAGTGTAAGACATCTTAAAAAAAATACAATAATATTAATTTTCATTTAAAATCTTTAAAATTTTATTTTTTATTATTATGCTATTTTTTAAGATGTTTTACACCTATAAACTTATGTTTATTAAATATTATATAGGTATACGTAGTCATTTAGACACATTTTCAATAAAAAAAAAAAAATACAGTGTTAACCAAAATGTTTTTTCGTTTACTATAAATAATATTCCTTTGGGCGAAAACCAAATCACTCTTTTTTGTGTTTGGGTAAAGAAGGCCATTTGGGCAAAAACCAAAAGGTCGATTTTGGGCGAAAACATGTACAGCCATTTGATGAACATCAATATTATACCTATTCAAACTTTTTAGAAAATACATTTACGATTTACCTATCATTTCCTTGAAAAAATGGCCATGGGATCTCCCCGGATTTGACCCGCACATCACTCATTTGTATAGGCCACTGTGGTCTATGACCAGTGACTGGCTATTATTATAGTGCTACAGCTACACTGTATTTAAATTTAGAAATAGATAATATATAAATATTAGAAAATTACCGGCTTTATGTTATATAATGAGATAATAATATCTAGTAGATACCAACTAATTTAAAATTTTTTTTAACAGATAACGGATGTCATGATGTCAGACAACAGTAGTTCTACATAGTAATTGTATATCTGCATTTTGTTTTTTTATTAATTACCTAGATAAATTATATAGGTATAATAATATGAATCACTTGACTGTGGTGAAATTAAATAGATTAAATTACTGTATGTATAGTAACACAGTAGTAATAATTTGAATATTATTTTGTTATCAATTGATGTTGCCATTAATATTATATCACAGAATATTCTGTGATTATATTATATTAATCACTGTTTGTTATCTTAAATTTTAAAAAGTTAAAACCACTTGTTAGAATAGTATTAAATTTCTTTAATTAATGTATTTAATTTGTTTTTCGACTTACTAGACACTAGTTAGTAGTTACATAAGTGTTCATCAAGAAAATATGAAATACAACGTGAAGGTATGGCTATAGGCGTAGTTATCAGGTACAACGAAATTTTTTCTAATTTTTTTTCAATTACACAGATAGGTATCATTGGTGGATCAGGACTTGACGATCCAGATTTTTTTAAAGATGCAACTGAAGAAAAAGTGAAAACTCCGTATGGTAACCCATCAGACTCGCTTCTCAGCGGCAAGCTCAACGGTATCAATTGTGTTCTATTAGCCAGGTCACTGTCATTGATAATAATTTTTAGCAATAACTATATAGTTTATATAATTGAATCCCTTGAAAATACTATAGAAAACCTAAATATTTAAGTTAAATAAAAATGGCACTTTGGTTGGGGTATGGCCGTATGGGTTTTGTTTCCTTATTTGTATATATAAATCTGTCTTAACTCGTAGACTGGTACATGTGTAATTAATTATATAAAACTATTTGTTGTAGGCATGGACGTAAGCACTCGATAAGTCCCACCAATATAAATTACCGTGCCAATATTTGGGCTTTGAAGCATCTAGGATGTACACATATTATTGCATCAACAGCAACCGGTTCTTTAAAAGAAGAAATTAAGCCGGGTGATTTGGTAATTTTGGATTCTTTCATTGATTTGTAAGTCACTCATTTATTATGAATTCAGTTGCAATATTATATTATAATAAATAAATATATTTTTAGAACCAAAAAACGTGACTTAACTATGTTTGATAAGGATGATAAAGTTATACACTTACCAATTGAACCTCCTTTTTGTTCAGCTACTCGGAATATTATTATTGAAACGGCTCAAAGCCTTGGTATTCCTGTTCATAAAACCGGTACAGCTGTAGTTATTGAAGGACCTAGATTCTCGACAAAGGCTGAAAGTAATGTCTATCGATCATGGAATGCTGATTTGGTCAATATGACACTTGCTCCAGAAGTAATTAGCATATTACTCTATATTTATATTACTTATATATTTATTATTTTAGCCTTTTTAACCTTAGGTTGTACTGGCTAAAGAAGCAGGTTTGTTGTATGCTTCAGTGGCCATGGCCACAGACTATGATTGTTGGAGAGAAGCAACAGAAAAAGTCAATGTTGCTAATGTTATAAGAGTTTTTCAAGAAAATGTTAAAAAAATCACAACATTATTTATAGAAGTTTTGCCCAAAATAGCGGAAAAAAATTGGGATGTCGAAATTGATGAACTAAATGTAAGAAAATTAACATTAATATATTATAAATGCTGATACTTTTAATATCCTATCTTTTAAAGTTATAACTACAAAAGTATAAGTGGTCCAATTTATAAAGTGTGTAATCTCTTTTAATGTTTATGTATACTTATAATAGGTATTTATTAAAAATAATACAGATAAATGAAGATATACCAAATACCAATGGTATTTAAATACCTTATGAACTTCAAAATCCACCATAAAAAATATAATTTATAAATTGTGGAAATATTTTATAACAAATTAGTTTTTAAGTATTATTTTAATAATAATATGAGACACAATTCTATATATTTTAATGCATCTATCATTATATTAATTATGATTTTAATATGATTTTAGAGTCTCATCCAAGAGAGTGTGCAGAGTAAATGAACATGAAACAAGACAATGAAAACAGAACAATATTTATAATTGCTCTATTTGTTAAAATATTGTTTCTAAATACAAAACTGTAATACTATATTTCTCTGTTTCTGTGTTTTATGTTATATTTTGAGTGCTAGTTAGTCCATAGTTCATATAATATACTTTACTGGATAAATTAGTAATTACCATATATAGAGTTATATTAATTTAATTCAATTTTATTTTTAAATGTTTTTTATTATACACAATTCAACAAAAATAATAAACCATGATGTACACAATGTTATCACACGGTCATTATAATCTACTAATAAGTTGCAACTTGTAGGAATGTTTTTGTAACATCATATCACTATTATTAATTAATGAACCCAAATTAAATATTAATATGAATGAACTTGTCATCAATGGCATATAATAATAATAATATTCATAAAACAATCACTTGCGCTCAATAATAATAACATTAGAGGGATTCAGAAGCAGATTCTTAGAATAATTTTATTCATCACTAATTTTAATTGGAATTGTTTAAACAAAAAAAAAAATCACTTACACTATTTTGTTTATGAATAGTTAATAGTTTTATATAAATATGTAATTTTACAATTTAATACAAGCAAATATATTAATTAGTAAATTTAATATGGTTTAATAAGTGACCATATTAGTAGATTTTACATAAGTCTTTGTGCAATTTAATTTGCATTAACATATAATTTGTATACTTTCAAAATTCTGTCAATTTTATTTTAAAATATTGATAAGTATTAAAAGCTAACAAATTTTCTCATTTAAATTCTTTTAAAAATAGAATTAGTGATTTTCAAATTAATTTCCAATGTACATCGAACATATTATATCTCTTATTTGTTCTGTAAATAGTCATGTTTTATTATTTTATAAATAAAATCGGATAATAACTCATGGTAAATTGTGCCTCTGAAGCCCTCAATATATCTTATTCTAAGTATAAATTTGAAGTTAAAAAGAGTACAATCTCTAAAAAAA